TCAGCGATGGAACCAGCTGACTATGCCGAGGCGCCGGTAGCCACAGCCACTCGGTCTTGGAAGGGTTGAGCCTGAGTCTGTTCCTCCCCATCCAGACCCTCACGGCCTCCAGACACCAGGTCATCACGTCAAGGGCATCGTTGGGGTGGCCCGGGGTGGATATGTACAGCTGAGTATCATCAGCGTACTGATGGAAATCTTTATTTTGATTCAGCTTTATTTGATTCAATAGTTTTGTGTAATTATCTTCTTTTATCGTTGAACATTTTTCTGTTAAATGTATTCCCAGATATTTGACCTTTTTAACTATCTGCAATTCTGTTTTTACAACATTTGTTTTTTTGTTTATCTGTAAGGTTTTTAACAATTACTTTGGTTTTTTCTCTGTTTATTTTCAGTCCTGCCATTTCTCCCTATTGTTCTATCTTTCCCAATAGTTTAGGAATCATCTCCAAATGTTCTTCTAAAATAAATACCAAATCATCAGCAAATGCTTGTAATTTATATGTTTCACCTTTTATTTCTAGCCCTTTAATTTCTATATCTTGTCTAATATTTCTATTTAAAACTTCCAGAGTAAAAATAAATAACAATGGAGATAATGGGCATCCTTGCCTTGTACTTTTTCTTATCTCAAAGTTCTCAGTTTAGCCTCCATTCACAATCACTTTCACTGTTTGTCTATTGTTTTTATCATGTTTGTAAAGTTCTGTCCAAAGTCCATTATTCGTAATTGCTGAATCATAAATTGCCAGGAAACATTATCAAATGCCTTTTGGGCATCTAGAAATATTAGTGCCAGTTGTTTCCCTGGGTGTAATTCATAATATTCTAATACATCCATTATCACTCTTAAATTGTTTTTAATTTGTCTCTTTGGCAAAAAACCATTTTGGTCTGAATGTATGAATTCAGTTAAGTATTTTTTCTGTCTCTCTGCCATTATTGAAGTAAAAATTTTATAATCCACATTCAATAATGATATCGGTCTATAATTTTTTTATCTGTGTCAAATCTGAGTCTTCTTTTGGTATTAAGGTAATATTTGCTTCTATCCATGTATTTGGGAGTTTAGCCTCCAACAAAAGTTCATTGCAAACGTCTTTCAGTGGTTCACTTAGTATATCTTGTAAAGCTTTATATAACTCTGCCGATAGTCCATCTGGCCCTGGTGTTTTCTCATGTTTTGTTTTTTTGTCTTCTTATGGCCTCTGTTATTTCCATCATTGTTATTTTTTCCTCTAGCATAGTCTTACAGGTTTCTGGAATTTTTGGAAGGTTATTTTCTTCCAAATATTGGATCATTCTTTCTCTTGAAATTTCTTCTATGTCATAAAGTTTCTTGTAATATTCTTTAATTATCTGTTTTATTTCTTCATTTTTAAATTGTAAGCAACTTTTTTCATTTACTAAATTATTTATCATTTTCTTAACACAAAGGGAAAAAACAGTCCAACCTATCAAAAACAGTATCATAAAAAATAGATTAGAAACACAAGTTAAGATAGGCAAGAAAATGGTAAGTGAGCACCTGTTCAGCCTACACGTGTTCAAATCACCAGGACCAGATGGATTACACCCCAAGGTTCTCAAGGAACTGGCAGATGTGATCTCAGAACTACTGAACTATATTTTTTAAAGATCCTGGAGGACTGGAAAAGAGCTGAGAAAATCACAAATCAGCAGCAGAGCTTACCTTCATCTGAATTATATTTTTATCCTTTAGGATGTTATGTGGAGCTTATTAAAAATGTCTACTTTCTCCTTTTACTTAAGTTGATGTTGTAATCACTGCTTTGCTTTAGTAGACAATGTAAGAATTTTCCATGTAGCAGACTGGCTGAACATAATTATATGTTGATTATATTTATGCCTTATTGATCGTTTATTTTATATTTCATTCGTAAAAGTTGTTAACCCCCTCTATTCTGAATAACTGTGGGTTGTAATGTTTACCAACATTCTTTATCAAAACATAATGCAATTGTTTTGCTCACTGTCCTAATGTCCTGGCCCAGTACTCGAGAGAAAAAAAGAGGTTTCCAGAATCTTACTAACAGCTAGCAGAATTGGGGCCATCTGGATCTTGGTGGATTTACTATTCCACAAGGCAGGTACAGTGACAAAGAAGCATGCTTTCTGGGTCCCATTAGATCAGGGGTCCCCAAGCCCTCATTGGTGGACCAGCACTGGGCGGCAGCATGCCAGCAACCAGGCTGCTCAAACAAACAAAGCCCCATCTGTGAGATGCAGGCAGCACATCAAACCATGCCCCCTCCGGTCCGCGTAAAAACCTTTCTCCATGAACCAGCCCAAAAAGTTGGGGGCTGCTGCATTAGATAACATGTTTAAAAGAAGGAATTTGAGGCATAATTGTAGACAAGGGAGCCCTCAGATAACCCAGCCCTATACTACGAAGACATGTATTGTGTAGATGACAATCAATACGTTGAATGTAGAATGCTTACTGAGAGCCTGGTGCAATTCATTTGGTAAAGTTACAATAACTATACCAAGATGCGCTCCATGGCATCGGACCTGGATATCTCCGAGACCGCCTTCTGCCTCAGAGTGCCTCCCATCGGCCGGTACGCTCCCACAGAGTGGGTCTCCTCAGGGTGCCGTCAGCCAGACAGTGCCGGCTGGCGACTCCCAGGGGGAGGGCCTTCTCGGTGGGAGCCCCCACCCTCTGGAATGAACTACCCCCAGAGATCCGG